AAACTACAACTTAAATGGAAGTGGTCACATACTACCCTACTATGTATTTACTTTACTGTTAAAGCTTTAGGATATTATGCCTGCTACTTGTAATAACACCCTATGTGACATTATGGATAGCAGTCAAATGCTTTGAAAGACTTCATGAGTTCTGACAATAGTGGGAAAGCATGACAAAAACAAAGAGAGGACTGTTGTATACTGAGTTCAGTTAGCTGAATTCTTTTATCTAAGTAGTTTTGCTTAGCACAAGCAAAGTTCTGAAGTTTTAGGCCACAAGCTGCAAATTTTCACCTTGAAATGCTGAATAAGTCTTGTACTCCTGTTCAGCTACAATGAAAGGAGGCTCTGAGACCAGTGTAAATTAAAAGATTAAGAAGTCATGGCTACCATCAGAAGCTGCAACCCATCCAGATAAAGACAGCTACAGAGAAAGAATGTGATATGAACAAGAAGACTCCAATGCATGTATTGCATTATAATGAGTCATATAATGCATGTATTAAGACATGCATGCAAGGTGTGTGAAGTGTGCAAAAAATAGGAGCATAGGTTGTAAGGGTATAAAATCTCAGGTATTTCTTTGTTCTAAGTCCCTCTGGTGAGGCACCTAGCTTGAGCTGTGTCTGTTGCAGTACCAAATTATTAATGTTTTTTCCCCAGAAACTAGATGTCAGCTGTGGGAAGCCTAGGGTGAATAAACTTCTTTAAAACTTATACAGAGGCAACTGATCTTCCCTTACAACAAAACTTCATAACTGGAACTAGTAAAAGGCAATTTATTCTCACTCAAACACTTATTTTGCTGTTTTAGAGATTTGAAGAATTAAGACTCCAGAAACAATTTCACTTTTTTCCCTTTAAATGTGTGTGATTCTAATATGAAATTTCAAACAATAGCTTCAGCTACTGCAAGCAACACACCAAAGAGACAGGCAGAGTTAGACTCTGTCCTGTGCCATTTTGTTTTCATGCATGCCACTACTTGCTGAATTACAGAATTGCCTACTACAGCTTTCCTCTAGACAATCCTTATGGCACTGTAGCTGAAAGAATGCTATCAGGATAAACTATTAAAAAATAAGGAAATTACAGTCAGTCTAAGGTAAAACTCCATAGAAAATTCAACACCACTTTAAAACCACAGCTAAAAACTCAAAAGTGTACTATTTAGGAGCTACATATAAATGTTAACAGAGTCATCATATGTATATGAAAGAAGAAAACCTTTTAGAAGTATTAGCAACAAAGGTTTAGAGATTTCAAAAGAACAGAGAGTATTACTGCATGATCAACAAATTTAATTTTCCTGGACTGGTAAAGAATGCAAGCTCTGCAACTGGGACTTTTGAATAAAGAGCTGGCAAATGCAGTTTGGTCACTGCGGTAAGAATGAACTGAGTTAACATCAAGTGGTGCAATTACAAGAGCTGCAATACCTACAACCATCCTTTACCCAAATCCTCCGCTAATACAGTCTAAAAATCATAGAACAGAAGCCAGCAGAAGAGAAAAAAATACACCTTTAAGGTCAAAAGTATAGGTTTTGGTAGACAATGAAACAGGAGTCCATTTTCCCCATAAAAAGCAAAGCTTAAAAAGTTGCCTCCTTATAGCTGTGCCATTTCCTAATAAATAGTTTGGATTCTAAAGGTCAAAGTATTGCATTATCTGGCAAAGTCCTCTCAGGAGGTTTGCTACAAATTGAAAATATCTCCAGAAATTTAGTAAAACCTCATTGGAAAAACTCAGTGAAAATTACATTTAAAAAAAAAAAAAAAAAAAGCTACCTTACAGAACTTTGTCCAGTCAAACATTAAAACATAATACCACAGAAAAATCTCTGACTACTGTAAAACTTCTTATATTGCAAGACAGAAGACTAGATGTGCTTTGAATCTTTCTAAAGACCCTTTTTTACAGATTCAATATGCTTAAGAAATAATACTAGAATAAAACAAAAATTGTGAAACTTAACAAGACTTTTTGTAGTCCAAACAGGCAAATACCCTAGCAATTAGATAAAACAGCCTGGAGGGGTCCAAAGTAGGGTTATGAAGATGATCAGGCTACAGAATATCCAAAAGAAGGCTGTGAAGGTTATGAAAAAGTTGGTGAGCCTGCCTTATGAGAAAAGATTGTCCTCTTCCCTGGATCAGGCTTCATACAAGCCACATCACAGTACCGAGGTATTTGAAAGGCTACAACGACGAAGGTTCTCTTCACAAGGAGCCCCATGAAAGTGAGTGGCTACAGTGGGGACAAGCTGCACAAGAAGAGATTTCGTCTGTGTTTAGAATGCCTTTCTGGTGCTACCTTACACTGAAACAACCTTCTCAGGGTTAAACCCCCATCAAAGAAGGCTTTCAAAATGCAACTCTACAAGGTAGCAGATGAGGTCTTCAAGGCTGCCTTTCCTAGGAAAGGCTGGACCAGGCCATCCCTCCAACATAGCCTTTCAACCCTATTCTGTGATGATTCCAAGAACACTAGTTCAATACAGTGAATTCCATCATCTCAACTGTAATACCAGCAGAATCTGATTCTGCTGTTCAGATGGGTCTAGATGCTATTTTTTGCTGTTTAATTACTAATAGGTAGAATGAAGTTAGAGGTAGTTATGCCCAAAATCAGGGGGAAAAAAATCACTAACTCTAGAAACAAAGTCTTAAGTTTGGTATATTTTTCTTTTTTTTTTTTTAATTAAAAGTTTAGCAATTAGTTTAACAATTTAGTAATTTTATTTGATATTATTTCTTTCCCCAAACAGAGGTGTACTCGTCTAACAATGCATCTGTTATTAGAAGCTATGCCAAACTGTGAGAGTACAAGGAGGCTGGTCATTCTCAATTGTCAAGTTGATAGCCCCCTGAATCTTATATAAAATACAGAAGTTTTGAACCCTGTGTAACAAACCAACTTTGTATGGCCCCAATAAAGAACTGACCCATTCCCTTCCAAAAAACCTCAAGATTTTTCTCGCAACATGCCACTTACTTAACATTTGTCAGCTACATCATCACTTGTGTATTTACCCTAACTCAGAGGGTTCTCTGCCATTCAGAGGAGACTTGCTAAGACAGCACATTCAAAGGAGAAACACACAGTCAAGACCAAGTCTTGACTATCCACACTGGTTTAGCATCTTAAGCACTGTACTTTTATAGTCCTTCCTTCCTAACAAGCCTAAGCCAAATACACAAAATCCCAAACAGATACTGTGTTTAAAGAAGAAAGTGTGTTTTTAAATATAGAAGAGAAATAACTCTTCTTAAAATAGATCTTAATGCCCTTTCACTAAGGGTACTGTAGTCAGCAGTCTTTTCTCCATTTTATATCTGCTAGAAATTGAAATAAGGTGCACATGCCTGTTGTCTCTGCATGAGAAAAAAGATTTCTTAATACCAGGGTTGCAGAGAATAGTCAAAGACAAGCCACAGGGCCACTGTGTACTGCCAAGAATGGTGACACCTATAGGCAAGCAGGAGGTAAAGGATAGTCTTCACATACTGCCATGGGAAGTTACTGATAATCACCAGTTCTTGTTCAAGAACTTTTTCATCACAACTTGAGACTTTGCTGTTCACTGAGCAGACTCCTTCAACTTCTGTTGATAGCCACAGTAAATAAAGTAACATTTAAATAAAATAAGCTGTTATAGTCTGAGTACTGGTCTTAGGAGACCAAGTTACATAACTGCAGAGAAATCCTAAAAAGACTAGATTCATATAACTGCCCATAAAGACAGTGACAACTTGTTGATATCTTCCTCTACAAAGGCGCTCATTATCCCGCACTTATTTAGCTTTGAAGACTCTCTGCTCCACAAACTGCTAAAAACGCATCAACTAACTGCTGTTGGGAACAGTGTAAGACTGACTGTAAGCCTAAGCAATAGAATTCGTAGCACTCCCAACAACTTGATGGAGCAACAACCTCGATTCAAAGGCCTTTTCCGAGGGCATTAAAACACACAGTACCATTACTGTGAGCTCAACAGGAGATTTTACTACACGAAGAAAAAATCTTAATAACAGATTATGTGTTAGGCGTCATTGCTTCCTACAGGAGAATGGGAACTTAGAATTCAAGAGGGTGAAACCAGAATCTTCTGTGCAAAGATGCTCAATTTTGGAAACAATCCACCAGTTCTAAGATACTTTAGATACTGAATCTAGCAACCTGAAGCTCAATACCGAGTAAGTAGTAACACTCAGACTCACTAAGACTAGCAATCCGCTCCAAATGCAAGAAGCTATAGCCCACGAAGCCTCCAGCTGCAAAGAGGACTGTGACAGACATTTTTAGTACAAAAGCCAACTGACTCCCTCTTTCCCCAAGCAGTATTACGCATCAAAACCTAGCAGCTGACCATTCCTGAACACCGGCTGAAGAGTTACCCCATTCAAAGGCTGGTTCACCAATGCAAGCTCAAGGCAAAATAAGCACAGATCGCTGTAGACGTTAGAACTCTGAAGTCACTGAAAGGCCAGAAAACTCACAGGTACCGAGAAATCACACGCCTGGAAACTTCAGACCCTGAAGGATACTGCCCAGGGTAACAAGAAAGGAAAGGCAGCAACAGGGCTGATAAACCAGCATGAAAGCTGTAGATGCCGCAGCGTAGGAGTTGATGCTCTTGCATTTGTCTCTTGGGGATATCGCTGAAGTTTTTATTTACATATTGCAAGGCCGCCTCGGCCGAGAGCGCTCGGCAGCATCGTGTCAGGACCTTGCCCACACGTCACTGCTGTCTCTGAGGGGACTTTCAGGTGCGTTCAGCACGACGACCCCACAGGAACCAGGATTTTTTAGCCCTGCTATGAGAGCGCTAACCCCGCCACGCCACGACTGCCGAGAGGTCAGCGAAGCGCGGAGCCCGCAGCCACCCCCGCCGCGCCGCGGGGCCCGCACCGGGCACCGCAGCGCCGGGCAGCGCCTTCCCAAAACCGGCCGCCGGTCCCGCTCGCCCCCGCCTCGCCGGGGCGCTGCCCGCGTACCTAGCTGCCGCGGCGCCGCAGGGGAGGGCGCAGGGGAGCTCTCCAGCTGCTTGCCCTCCTTCTGGGTCCCCCTCTTGCCGCCGCCCGCCCGGCCGCCGGGCACGGCTCTCCTGGCGACGGCCGCCGCCTCGTCGCGCTTCTTCCTCTGCTGCTGGCGGCGCTCGGCCTCGCGCAGGACGTCGAACGGGTCCGACTCGTCGTCCAGGAGCTGGTAGAAGCGATTGGCGACGGAGCACCCGAAGTTCTCCTGCATGACGGCACCCACTGGGCTGCCCACCAGCCCCGTCATCATCCGCGCGGCCACCTCGCCTCCCCCGACCGCCCCCTGCCCGCGCACCAGCGGCCGCCGGCACCCTCCCTCAAGGCCGCCGCTGCTTCGCGGGGCCGAAACACGGCGCACGCCGGGCGAGAGCAGCGGCAGCCCGACCCACGCGCCGCCCCTGGGGCCCGGCCCGCCGCAGCTTCGCACAGCCCCGGCCGGACCGCAGCAGCCAATGGAGGCCCACAGCGCACCCGCCACCGCCGTCCCCGCCGCCTATAAGCGCGGCCGAGCCCGCCCACCGCCTGCACGCGACACCGGCGAGTAACAGAGCAGCCAATCCCGGCACCAGGCTCCGCCCCGCCCCGCGTGCCCAGCTGCGGCCAATTACCGTGTAAGACCGGAGCTGTCAATCACAGCCGTTAACCAATGAGGTGCGCCGCTCTATTATTCACCAGGTGGGAGCCCCGCCGGCCTGGCAGCGCCGCCCGTGTGGGGCCGTTCTCCGGCAGCCGCGCCTCAGACTCGGTGCCACCGCAAACGGTGTTGCCACGGGTCTTTCGGTACAACATACATCCTCGAACAAGTGACACCAACGACAGAGGCGCTCGCTGACACTGGGAGTTCCCCCGGAGCTCTGCTGTAGGTGGCCGACACGCTTGGATGAGGTAGCCGGGTCCGAAACGCCCCCTTGCAGCGAGAAGAGCAGCGGGCCCGTCCGGCGCCCGCAGCGCTGCGCGGGGCGTGCGGCACTCAGCTCAGCTCGGAGAGCTGCTCCGAACAGCCACAGCCAGCGTGGGGCTCCCCGGCCGTCGCTGAGCCCCCGCGGTGACAGATCTCAGTGCAGCGCGCCTGTAGGGGCCTTTTCAGCTGCTCACAGTTCTGGACACAGCTGCGAGTACTTTTGCTGTCTCAAAATAAAAATGTCTCAATAAATATGGCCAAGAGTGACATGCCAGGAAACTCATCAAGGCGTTTTTCCGCAGAGGACGGGCACCTGGGCGGGCGAAACATCAGTGCCTCTTTTAACAGCCACAGTAACAATAAAATCTTAGCCCTTCAGCCACGATTGCCCAAAGAATGGCAATTGCAGTCTTGATTTCTGTGATGAGGCTGTCTTTATTTTGATCGTTCATGCGAAACGAACACTTCCTCTATCATGGTAACTTCACTGTATATACCACCTGCTTTTGAAATTAATTTTATCCTTATCACAGTAACTTGAAACAGTATCAGAATTCTTGCTATGTTTCAAAAGGCAGGATTAAAGACGGCCCTGTTCTCTCTTTATTCTGGGATGCTGACAAGTCTGTGGACGCCACTGTAAAACACAATAAGGTGTACCCTCTACAGATTATTCCAAGCCTTGAACATAGTCGTTGCATCTTTCCTGGCTCTCATGTAGACCCACTTTTGCAGGGCATGCTCACTGCAGAAAAAACTAATTTAATTGGACTTAGTGCCATTTCAAGTTTCAATTTCATTCAAGAGATCACAAACTGTTTTGCATGGAATTAATAACAGTAACTTCAGGCAATTATCTGCTTGCAATGAGCTTTACAAAATCCTGGTAGTTGAGTCAAATCTCTCAGGCTCTGAAATGCTTCAAATTTAAAGCAGAAAAATATCAGTCAACAAAAGAAAAATATCATTATTTCTGCACAGTTCTTATGTTGTCAAATGTAGCTACCCAGAAGAAACTTGAAAGCTACATTGATGTGTACTAATCTGGAGAAAGACATTAACGACATCACATTAGTACAGCGTGTCAAAAATCTTGCCAAAGATTTGCAGATCTTTTTGGAGCCTTTTGGTATCAATTGCAGCATCTACACTAGATTTCCTCAGTACACATTGTATCCAGAAAGTTTTTTAGAAATTTTAGAAATATTTTTATTTAAATATTCTACAAGTTTGAATCAAAGTTATGCTGTATATGAAAGATGACAGACTAACATCATTAGTCACTGCCACCACTGACTGTAGTGTCCTTACAACTTAATAGGTACTTTGAAGGTCATAGTATCTCTGGAGAGGAATGAATATGAGAAATTCAGATATATTTCAGCAGTAAGTTTAGAGATTTGGTGTTCCATGTGATTTGGCTTTTTTTTTGGTGAAGCTTCAAAAGAAGAAAAAAAGTCTAACCACTCAGAGAGATTCCACAATGACAGCCAAAACCAGTGTTTGCTATAAATATATCTTGTCTTTATCTGTACAATTCTCTTTTCTAAAATTAATGTAAAGATTTAGAAAAATCTTTAGTTTTCTGATGCTCTGAGCTGTCAATCAAAACAAAATTTCTGTAAGAGATTCCAACCTCCAAACTGATTAAAAGTCTTGAATGACAAATGAGAGTAATTTGCAATCTCTTTTTTGCTTGCAGCTGTCAGGAAAAATAATCCAAAATGCCAGAGGTTTTTATGTCCAAAAAAGAGACATTGGAGTCCCATAGCTTTATTCATTAATAAAAGGAGAGGTCATGGGGCAATTCCCCATGGGATCTCTCAAATTGCTGGGGGATGTATCCTCCCTTTTATCCTAATTTCTTGTCCCATTTCCTTCTCTCTTTCCCCATTGTCTTAGGTAATTGAGAGGTACAGACTTTCCAAATCGCCTAATACAGACCCTCTTCTAATGTGCATCCCCCCCCCCCCCCCTTCCCTTTTCTTTGTGTCTGTGTTATTTTTCTCTAACTCCAGGAATTTAGCGCGGCCTTGGGTGAGTAACCGTCTGTGTCAGTTAGTGGAATTCCTCTGGAATTTGTGGTTCCTATTATTGCTTCTTTCACCTATCAGTATCTGGCTCTATCTACCAGCAGGCTCACAGTTTGTTTGTAAAAACACCTCCCTCTCATTCCTTTCACAGCTTTTCACTATGTGCAATCAGTGTGTGATTGTCGAGTTACATACTTACACAAACAATAGAGACAGACAAGGAAAACTTGAATTTTACTATGAAAGTGTAAGCAAGTGCTCTGCCTGGAATTTTATACCAAAAAGAAATAGCGATGGCTTCAGCATGATTACAAATTTGCACGCAAAGCCTAAATCTCATAGTTGTAATACAGGGCATAGGTGCCTAACCTTTCTGACGACAGGTGACTCATGTTAAGTGAAGATGAGGGCTGCCTGCCTAAGTAGCTGTTCCGTCCACATTCTCTCCTCAAGTGGATTTTTCACATGCACAGAACAGCACCCTACACAAGGTTGCCTAGCAGGCGTAGATATGGAATATGGCATCTTTACCAAAACAGCCCTTGCTTTTTTTTTTTTTTTTTTTTTTTTTTTTTTTTTTTTTTTTTTTCAAGGTGCAAAAGTGCCTAATTACAAGAGACAGAATTGAGAACGGTGACTGGTGTTTCTCTGGCCTTTGCAGCTAAATATCTAATCACCAGCAAGGTCATCTTGTCCTTGACCTTTCATACTTTCTCATCCTTGGACATTTCATTTTCTAGTGCCCACATCTCTCCTGCCTGAGGGAGACACATCCTGAGCACATCACATGGCTCAAGGTGCCGTTAGTGGGCAGGGCACCAGAACAGGTAGAGAGCGTAACACTGTGTCACTTAGAGAATCTAGCTATCTGATACATTTTCCAGCAACACAATTCTATTGCGCAAAAGTGATTACATGAAGTCTTAAGCAAAAAAGAGAGCTGCATCACCAAAGATGGATGTGCCTATAAAGGAGTACACATAATGCTGAGAGCTTTGTTTGTGAGCTGGACAATGTGCCCTGACTGGCAGCAAGGTTGGAGCCCATCAAATGAGCCAGGAACAGTCACTGACCTTCTACTAACAAAGGGCACCTTGGTGCTAGCTCGTAGGGGTGGGGGTGGCCAGTCACCTAGAGACTCTGCAGAACCCAATGAGCAAGGAGAGGACCTCAGCCAAAATATCACCACTGGACCAAGAGGCAAGTGCAAGGGGCATGAAGGGTGGGCGCACAGACTGTCAGGGTGTAAAAGCCCAGGGATTCCTTAGAAACAGCACATGCTGCTACTGAGTCGCTGCATCATGATCAAAATACTTCAAGGAACCCAGCATTTGGGACACTGCTATGGGAAACATGGGTCAAGATGGCAAAGGAAGCTTGTGACAGTGTGAGTATGGTGCATGTAGGGATTCAAATGGGGCACCCATCAGGTCACTGGAGCCACCGACTGCAAAGGGGTCTCAGTCCCAGCAGTGAAAGTCTCACAGGTTGTGAATGTGATTCCTAGAGTGGAATCTGAATGCTCAGACAGGAAATCCAGAAACTTTAAAAATATAATAATAAAGACTTGGATAAAAGATATTATTACCATTGCTAAGGTTTTACATAAGCCCATATTATAACAAAATAGCAATCCAGTGTGATTGTTTGCTATTATCTACCTAAAGGCCATAATCTAAAGTGCGTGCTTTAAAGAAGTAGAATACGTCTTTTCATCTTTATTTGTCATGTTTGGTTCTGTTTCAGAGTTAGTTGTTTTTATCTCTGAAAGTTTACTATCCTCAAACTCCTTAATGGTCATTTCCATCTTGAGTCTAACAAGCTAGATACAATGCAGGTATTTTTCCTGCTGTCTCTTGAATCTTTGCTCCCTATCCTTTTACAATTTCAGTCTTATATCATGTGTGATAAAAGGTATGCTTTGTTGTAATAAGCAGGATTTGATCTGACTATAGGTTGTATCACGTTTCATTATTTTGGTCCTTTAACTCTCATAGAGAACTTTTTCTTGTTTCTACACTAAAATATTAATGCTTTAATGCATTGAATTGGGTTTGCAAGGGCAAGCTTTGGAGGGGGAAGGGCTACAGGGGTGGTTTCTGTGGAAGGCTGCTGGAAGCTTCCTCCATGTCCAGCACAACCAGTCCCTGGTGGCTCCAATACAGACGGGCCGCTGGGCAAGACTGGGCCAAGCAGAAATGGTGATATCTCTGCTGTGATAACAGATTTAAGATGAAATAAAACAAAGTTATTATGCAGATGTAATTGTGGCCAAAGTAGGGTGAGAACACGTGAGAGGAACAACTCTGCAGACACCAAGGTCAGTGGAGAAAGAGGAGGAGGAGAAGGAGCTGCTCCAGGAACCAGAGCTGAGGTTCTGCTGCAGCCCCTGGTGCAAACCTTGGCGAGGCAGCTGTACCCTGCAGCCCATGGAGATCCATGGGGATGTAGAGATCCACCTGCAGCTGGTGGAGGAGACCCAGGCTGGAGCAGGTGGATGCACAAAGGAGTCTGTGAACCCAAGGAAGGCCCCAGGCTGGAGCAGCC